ACTAGCTATAAAATTAATTTGTAAATATTGTTAAAAAATCCGAGACGGGTTTGAAAATATAAAAGTCGGACCAGGCCGAAAATTTTTTAAAAAAAAAATCCGGGCTAGGCCGTATAAATGGTACCTTTGCACTCTGATCTTTAATATGAAAACATTTTTTGTGAAAATCATTTTTTTTTTCTTGGATATTTTAGATTACTCCATTTTATGTGAAAATTTTACCAGCACATATTTATTGTTGGATTATTAAATTTAAAGTAAGACAAAGATCAAAGAAAAGAACAAAATCACAAAGTAAAATAGTCATATTAGATGCAAGTTGCAATGCACTGTCAAAGATATACATAAAAAAATCAATAGTTTAATTTTAACAGATTTTTGGAAGATATCATGATAATTCGCTTATAAAATCTAAAAAAACTAGAATATTATTTTTTTATCTTTTATTATAATTATGATATATAAATTATTTTTGACTTTGGAAGATATCATGATAATTCGCTTGTAAAATTTTTTTAAAAAGCAAATATTATTTTTTATTATAATTATGAGATAATTTATTTTTATGGTGAATCTGAATGTTAAATATGGTAAAATAAATTTTAAAAAACTGATGCTTCTGTTATTTTTACTAAATTTTATGAGTCTATTTTCTGAAGATTAACCCGAACCGGGTTCAGAGATATTTCACTAAACCAGAACATAAACTATTTTTATTAGGAGGCGGGTTCACAGTAGTGTTGTTAAAAAGCTCGATTTGGGTCGATTTTTAAAAACGTCCTGATCAAGATTTTAACTATAATAATATTATGTAAACCTCGAGTTTGGCAAGTAGACGTATAAACCTTTCTGCCATCTATGAGCTTATTTTTACTAAAATCTTAATCGGCCCATTGTCCAAAATTAACCCATATCGGGCTTTTTACAACACTAGTTCGCAGTCCTGTTAAAAAGTAGGAAGCCTTTTATGTTTTGGAACCTAGTTAAAATTTCATTCTTCAATAACCCCGGAATATAATATATTTCTTTATATCTTGAATTAAATTTTGAATAGAAATAATAATTGATTACAAATTAAATTACATTACAATATTATTAATTTCCCAATTTTTTTAGGGTATTTTAGTTTTAGACTTTTTTCTATATAATTTTTTAAAAAAAAGAAATGCCATCGGACTCGAGGAAGAATCCACTTTTCATCTTTAAAATGGAAATCATATTCATAATTATTTATTTTTTAATTATCAAATTATTTTATTTATACTTTTATTACTATTTTTTCAAAATAAGGACAAATTTACTCTTAAAAAAATCTAGATTGCTAAAAAAAACATTGAAATGCAAAACTTTTTACAATTAAAAAAAAAACTAATGTGATATCATAGTAATCCCTAGATAGATATGGAGTTAGATATTTTTAGAGATATTCTCTGCCTGAAATTATAATTTTCTTAACGGTTACAATGGTTCGATTTGAGCCGATATTTAAAAACGGCTAACTCAGTATTTTATCCATAAAAATATTACGTAAGCCTAAAAATTTTGGTTATAGATGACACAAATGTTCGGACATCTAGAAATCTCGAAGTTTAAGCAATATTTTTCCGGCCAAAATATTGAATTAACCATTTTTAAAAATCGGCTCAAAATCGAGCCGTTTAACAAGACTTACGGTTATTAAATAATTATCAAGGTGTTATCTAAGATTATTTTTTATAAAATTAAGAGGATTATAAAATTAAATTCTATACGATTTCATTTAATAATATTCTCTCAAAAATATAAGGTTATATATTTAAGTATATGTATAAAATATATATATTATAACATTTACTATAAGTAAAGTAATTTTAATTAGTATACAATTTGATTTATTTTAAATACTGTTCACCTGGCCTTTTTTAAAAAAAAGATGAATAATAAAGTAATGTGACCTTTTACATTGTAAATTATTAAATTATGTATGCTTGTCTTGCCTCTTCTATTGATCTTTATAATGATGATGAGATATTATTTATAGATTATTATTATAAAGATAAATGTGATCGCATCGAATAGTCCAACTTTATACCCCTTTATATGCGGGGTTTCGTAATTATCTTACATCAATAAATTATGTCATTCACCCAGGGCCATAACTTTGAGGTGTATGGTAAATATGCTAGGCGTTGAGAGTTTGTCTGTAAATTATAAAGCTCTAGATCTCTCTCTGTGCAAGTTTCTAGCCGGTTCTTATGATAGTAAAATGATAAATTTGCATTATTCAAGGTGTAAAAAAATTTTTGTCCGCCCCCACCCCCGATAAAGATATTTTAGCACAAATTTCCCAGCATAATAAATATTTTTTACGAGTTGGCAGGGCCGTACAGATCTCTAGTCTGCGTTCAATTCATAAAATAATAAGTTTTCAAAAGGGATCTGGAACATGCATTTTTGCTTTACTCCGACCAAAAAATATATTCAGTCTGAATGCGTTTCTGAAAATTACAAATTTTTATTCTTTCATCTTTATAAAATAATCAATTATTACTTATGATCTAAGTATTCGTAAAAATATTCTCTAAATTATCATATATTTACATGGTGGTTTTAGCCAAAAATTTGGGTGTCGAAAAACACCTTTCATAACCTGTTATATAAAATTTAATGCCGGTTATTGGGCCTATTTTTTATCAGGTCTTACCCTATTCGTCTAAAAGAAAAAAAATCAGTCCGAAATAAATTGGTCCAATTCTTACCACGTCCGAGAAAATCTCGGTCCGGCCGATTTAAGCTTGATGGAATTGGATTCGGACCAGAACCAGTCCGCGTAGGCTTCAAATAATGGGGATTAATGTGAAGCAAACTAGCATTCATTTCATATTTTCGTTCCCTTCTTCCATAAATTTTGCCAAGTTGAAAAAAAAACGAAAGAAAGAACGCTGTAATATTCCATGCCCCTGGTTTAACATAATATTTTTTAACAATAATTCTCTTAATAAAATATAAAGTGAACATCATTGAGCATAATTTATTTTTGCATGTTTTGGAGTGAGAATGAGATTTAAGAAATTTTAATTTGAATAACATTTGAAAAAAAATCTTTTGGGAATTCTTTTTTATTGTTAAATAAATGCTTCTTTTTTTTAAAAAAAAAATAATTTATTATTAGCTTTTATCATCTTATTTATAATTAGTCATTCTCATTATATGATATAGTTTATGTTAAATATAATTTTTTTTTTATATTTCATTATAATAGATGGTAGAGCCCCGAGAGAAATGATTAGTAAAATTTTGGGTAAGAGTGATAAATTGAAAATGACTGAGTATATTAAAAAAACAGGATTGGGCAATCACAAATATTACATTTACTTATAAGTAGTATAAACTAGTGATCCACATCGGGCCTAATTTTTTAAGCCCGGCCCGATAATTTTTTTAAACAAATTTGTCCTGCCCGGACCGATCCCGAACAAATATTTTTTTTATTTGTCCCAAAAAGCAGGACCACAAATATAAATTATTTGTTGGTCCTACCCTAATTTATTTAAATATAGAAAAATTTAGGTTTTTTTTTTGATTTATCAATTACAAAAAAAAAATAATTGTACTTTATAATTGTAGTTAGGGATTGTTAAACGATCAACGATCCTGGATTCGATCCTTTGGCGATTTACCCGGATTTATGATTTTCTCTTAAATCGAGGATCGTGATCATTTTGTTTAATATATAATTCATTTTTTAAAAAAAACCCTTTTAAAAGGATCGATTAAGCTGATATTTGGTAATTGTATAAGGAATTTAATTCCAGCATTACAATTTTTGAAGGAGTATTAATTACATTTAATAATAAATATTAACTTTTATAAAAAAAAAGAAATATATCTATCATCTTTTTATCAGTATTATATCATTTTCAATAATTTACATAAAATTTTTCGAAACAATTATTTTCTAATTCTGAGAATTTAATGAAATATTTGGACAGAAGGTAAGAATGAAGTGAGGGTGGGGGGGGGGGGGGTTATAAAATATTTTATTATCATATCTTTTTCATTATCGACTAACTAAATGTTTTTTATTACACAGAAAAAATAAAATATGTACGTATTTTGTAAAATTCTACGAAAAAAATATATAATATTTTGTTTAAATAATGACTCATGACAATTAAGAGTTAATCTATAAATAATTTTTTTTGTTGTAAAAATAAAAATCATATATTCATAGTTGGAATTTGAGCCGGACCATCTCAATATTTTACACAGAAAAATATTATGCAAGCCTGAATATTCTTCTCATAGATGGCACAGGGTATCTATTAACGAAATCTAGGCAATATTTTTCTAGCTAAAGTATTGAGTGAGCCATTTTTAAAAATCGGCTTAAATCGAGCTATTTAACAACACTAGTTGGAAAGGGAGGGCGGAGGACTGGTAATGACGTATTATTTATCTTACCCCTCTAGGTTTGCAGATAAGGAAATATACTTAAAATGTAACATGTGTTGTTTTTTATTATAAATACTTTTCTTAAATAAATATCTATTGGGAACAAATCGTTATAATGACGAAGCGGAACTTCGTTTTAAATTTTACCAGCTGTAGTAGCCTTGTTTAATAATAGTACAATATCAATATAATTTAATGCGGACGTTTTAATTTAAAAAGCTTCTAAATTAATATATACATATAGTAAAGTCGGGGATTTTTTTTATATTGGATATAATTGTTAAATTTTATAATGTTAATATTGGCCTTAGCACTATGCTAAATTGTGAATTTAGTTTTTCATCAAAAAATATAATAATATAATTTTTGTCATGAGATTTTTTTTTTAAAAAAAGATATTAATTTCGATTTTAAAATTTATAATAAATCCTAAATTCCCTTCTGTGGATTTGGAGTTTCCCATTTTCTTTTCAAATGATAATGTTTTGTTGGCACGACTTTGATATTTTACATTATTTTTTCCTAAATATGTTTATATTAATATATTTCTATATTCATTCTAAAAGGTGCAAATTATTCGATTTTCACGAGCCCACTGATTCAAATGGTTACCACCCTCGTTTAATGAAGTGGGTTCAAGCCTATTTTACCAAACCGCTAAAATTACTACTTAATAATACATCTCCTTTATTAGCTCACGATAACCTTCCTGTTAAACAATGCAAATACAGAACTGATCGGCTTCCTTTGCTTTTACAACACCAAGGCCATAGCAGGTTAATTATCGGCTTTCAGCTTGGAAATAATAGTAAGTCGGCAAATGAAGGGAACAAATTATTGGTGCTAGATCCTTCACTAGATATTGAAAAATTGCGAATTTTTTTGAAAATCTCCAAAAATTCGAAAGATACACTATCGGAAGAATCTGCCACGAAATTGTTTGATCGATTGTTCGTCAAAAATATTAGCTCGCTCACCGCGTCTCAATACCAAATAGTGTGCTTTGAGGGTTCCTTAAATTCAGATAAAAAGCTTAGCTACTTGTTTAAAGATTTGAACGATTACACATCTAGCAAGATATTGTCATCCATTAAAATACCGTGATAACTAAATTTATTGTCATTTATATCAAATTTTTTAAAAAAAATTCGTTTAAACCTTTTTTTGCATTGAAAACTTTTGAAACAAAACAAAAAAATTATAATTATTTTTCATCTGTTTGTATTATTTATTTATTCTTGACTTAATTATTATAGTTTGGTAATAGTCAAGTCAACCTTAAAAAAAATTTTTTTTTAAATTAAAATCTTAATTTATAAGAAATTAAATTATTAATAATGTGTGACGTTTTTTTTGACAGTTTTAGCAAAATTTAATTAGAAAAGTAGAAATTTTTTTTATTAATTTATTTAATATTTTAAAACATAAAACAGTTTTTTTATAAAAAAAAAACATAAATAGAAAATTTTAATATAATTCCTGCTAACAAGCAATTTATATTTTTATGAGCTCACCCCTCCCCCCTTTCAATTTAGATTTCCTTTTATTTTCATCCAAAATGAAAGCACTTCTTTTTAGATAGATCTCTTCTTCTTTTATGCGCAATTATAAAAACCTCATCTTGATTATAAATATTAATATATTATTATAATTATAACTATCATATATAAATTGTAATGTTTTCTTAAAAATAATATATATTAATATAATTAGATAAATGATCTTAACAATAAAAACTTAAATCTAATATAATATTATGAATATAGTATCTAATTGACTTTTTTTGAGCTAGGGTTCATGGAAAGGAAAGGCCCCGAGCTTTATTCCCGCTTTTGAGAAATGTAAAGGAATTATTAAAGATGTACGGAGGTTTTAAGGCCCTCGAAGAAGAGGGATTATCAAATTTGCATCTGATATTGAAGTGAGTAGCTGCTTGAGGAATGAATAGGGAACACTAAAGGCTTCTGAAACAGAAAAATAAAGAGGATTTGCTAAAGTTGTGATTGAGATTCAAATTTTATTTACTGAACATCGAATTATTAGAAAGCGCCTGCGTAACAAGACTCTCAAAATTCGATTCGTTCCAATAATACTCTGCTGACATCATCAAAAAGGTCTATAGATAATTTTTCCCAACATTTGCTCACAGACTATTTTTAATTTATTAGAAAATTCGTTCACTCATCAAAAAAATAATAAAAGATATTCGATATACTCTATATAAGTGTGTATAATATTCAGATGTATAATTACATGTATGCCAAGATATCATCTTATAAAGGCATAATTGCTAGTAGAGATCTGCAAATCACAGCCCGTACCGATCAACCCCAAAAAATAATTCGGTTCTGCTGGGTCGGGTCGGGCTTAATATTTTGTAAAAATTTAGGGCCGGGCTTAAATTCTTATAATTATTACATTTTGTCAAATAAAGTGATTTTAAAATTTTCGCAAGAAACATGATGCTAATATTTTTTATTTGTAAAATATTTTTTTTTACAATTAAGAATAAAAATTAAATAAACTATATTCGGGCCGGGAATATTTTTATTTCAAATCGGGCTTTTCGGGACAAATAAGAAAACTTTGTCAGGATCGGGCTGGACAAATTTTTTTAAAAAAATTCACGCTGAGCTTGAAATATTAGACCCGATATCATTAATTGCTAACACTATATGTATTGTATTTGGTTGAAGATTCTCCATTGCAACTTTCTTTCATTATAATCTTAAATAAATTCCACATACTTGTTTTCTAGTTCTGAAATGTAATTAATACTGTGAATTAACGGTGTACGGCTACCACTTTTTGGAGGTAGATACGATATTCTCGATATTATATTGATATCGGCCGATTATCGATTCGATATTAATATGATTTTGTTCGTTAATCGTTATACATAATTATTATCTATTTATTATACCATAGCATAAAGTCATTTTAAAAAACATAGTCTTAGCAAATTTTAGTTAATTTATCATTTTAGGCTTAATATAAATAAATCATTTATTTATAAAATCGTTGTAATCTTTTTTTATTCCTTAGGTATTTCTATCATGTAGAAATTAGAATCAAATCTAGTCTATTTATAATCAATATATCGTCGGCCTAGAATTGGACTATTCTACTAACGCAAATGTTTAAAATGAGAAAATCAACATTAAAGTTTAAAATCAAATATAGGAAAAGTTTATTGATCAATTTTGATAGGGCTATAACTTTGGCAAAAATTAATATTTTTTAATCTAGTATATATTTTTATATATATTGGGAATAAATAAGTTATTATCCACTTTAACCCAAAAATTTTGAAAATGTCGAGTGGAGCACTCCAATTCAAGACCGACGATATATTGTTTAAAAAACTTTAAGTTTTAAAATCATAAACCTTTTGAAAATAGCTAATGTTATTATATTCTTAGCATATTTTCAATTATTTAGTAGTTTTTTTTAAAATATCATTTCAATTATATAAGAATGTTCTTAATTTATATTTATTAATAAATTTGAATTAAGACGCTATTTTATAAGAAATTTAATAATATCAGCCTGTAACCAGGGTTGCCAGATGTCACGATTTAGCCGTGATTGTCACGATTTCATACTTATTTTTTTACTTACCCACGTTTTCTCATACTTCACGTTTTTCTCACTTTTTTTGAGTAAATTAAAATAATCACACTTAGTCTCACACTTTTTCTCAAAAATTTTAAATTAATTTTATTTTAAAAAATTGTAGTATTTGTTAATAGTCCAACTAACCAATCATATTCATTGATCAATTACCCACAACAGAAATTCCATTTTTAGAAAGTTTATCTATCAAGTATAATTATAATATGAATTTAAATAACTATACATTTCTTTTATGGATTTTATAAATCTTATAATAAAACTCGTAAAATTTTAAATGAAATAAATTAAGGGCAAATATTATAAAAGATCTAAAAAACAATCATCCGTTTTCAATACTAACGGATGCATAGAATAAAGGTAATATAAAAACATTTCCTTTATTACTTAGATACTTCAACAAAAAGAATGGAATAAATGTTTAATTAATTTTTTCGTCTGACAGTGAAACCCCTAAAGACATGTCTAGGATGTGCTAGAAAATTTAAAATTCGCTGAACTTGATATTGCAAATGTAACGACCTATTGTGCAGATAACGCATCTGTAAACTTTAGGAAAAATTAAAGTATTTGGAGAGAATTGAAAAGTCATAGTAATAATATTATACCAATGGGTTGTATATGCCACATTCTTCACAATTCGTTTAAAAAGGTCATAATTTTTCTTAAATATGATATTGAGAGTATAGTAATTAAATGCTATAATGAATTTAGCAACTCGACAAGTTACAATTTTAAAAGAATTGGTAGAATGGTGCAATTTAGAATGGTCAGAATCACTTCGCCATGTTCCAACACGCTGGCTTACATTAATCCCAGCGATTAAGCGGATGCTTAAGTATTTTTAACCCCTTAAAGAATATTTTTTATCATTATCAGCAACCCCACCAATTTTGAAAATAAAATTTTGAGATGATTTTGCAGAGGCATATTTAGGTGTTGTCCTTAACGTTGGCACTTTAGTCAATAACATAAATATACAATTGCAATCTGAAGATGTATTAGCAATATATATACATGATCATATCCTAAAACTAAAGAATTCATTAAATTTAAAAAAATTTTATGGGAGCATTTCTAAAAATATTTTACAACATAATAATGATGTAGAAAAGGCAAGAAATTTCAAAAATGAATCAAAGATATTTATAAAAAATATTATAGAATATGTAGAAAAACGTTATGATATTATAGATAATATATGGAAATATCTTAGTCCTATGACATTAAAATAATGTCCAGAATTCGAACAATTACAAAAAATTATTAGTAATTATAAAATACCAAACATAGATAGAGAAATTCTCTTTGAGGAATATTTACAATTTTATTCCTATTATGAAGAAAAATTATCAAAAAACTATCACATGAATACCCAAGAAAAATGGATAAATTTTCTTTCTAAGAAAAACTCACCATTGATAGAGAAAATATGCAATTTTATATTTTCTATTCCGCATTCAAATGCTTCATAGAGAATATTCAGTCTAATGACTACTGCTTGGCTAAAAGAACGTAATCATTGGAAGCTGAACTTATGGTTAAACAAAATATAACTATTCATGCAAAGGGTTTTTAGCCTATCTCCACAGTACCGATGGGAAATCTTTATTGCCTCTTTTAAAATCATCCATAAAATATAATAATTAATATTATGCTATATTTATAAACATGAGAAAATTATATATCATAATTGTTATTAGTAAATCAATAAAGAATTTTTATTGTCTTTAAAATCTTGTTATATTAAATAACATATTAACTTAGATGAGTATGCTACATCAATTACCCCGGCCGAAGGCTGGGATTGGGGGGTATGGGGGGGGCGAAGTCCCCCATTAATTATTATAAAATAAAAACTCACGTTTTCAAGTGAAGAATATCTGGCAACCCTGCCTGTAACCGATATTTTAAAAAACACGAAGAATAGGCTTGATCCGATAAAAATATCGGCGCATCTCTATTGTGAATCAAGTATTCCCCTCTGTACTTTATTTTTTCTTTCTCATGATATATGAACACGTAAATTTTTATAAAATATAAAAATGATATTGCATAATATAGGCAAGTCTGATTATTCAGCTTAAATATCGCGTTAAATTTAAGATCGTAAGAATGTGTTATAGTAAAATTATTAATAATTATTTTTCCCAAATTGAAGCAAAAATGGATGTTTAAAATTATAAAAGATGTTTTAGAGGGAAAAATTAATTTTAAAAATAGAAAAAAGTATTAAAATATTTTTAAGTATGTGTTATTACGAATAATAAGTAATGTTTAAAATAAATTTATAAATAAAAATAAATTAAATCCGCTAAATGGTTAATTTTATTTATTTAATTATTACTAGGGCTATATTTTTCACCGATCCTATATTTTCCGATATGATTCAAAACCGATCGGATATTTATATTGATTTTTCACCACCCCCCTTTTGAACCAAATGAAGAAATCTATATTTTTTATAAAAAAAATCGAATTATGCATTTAATTGAATTTTTTTTATTTCTACAATAATTTAAAAAAGTTTACGAATATTGGTAGTATTAAATGAATTTTTCATTATTCCTCCCCGTGAAATTAGAATTCCGCAGATAACGCATTTTGCAAAATAATCTTTGCCTTTTGTAAAATATTTCCACAATTCAGCTACCATATTTAAAAAAACTCTTTTAGTATAAATAATAAAATTGGCGTTATTATTTAAAAAGATTTAAAATAAATAAAAACTTGGGGTGTTCCTTTCTATTTTATAAAAAAAAACTTTTACGAAGCACTAAAGAATAAAATAAGTTTCATCGTTAGTGCTTTCAATCGTTTGGCCAGCTTCACGTGACGTAATAATTTTTATTTAGCTTATAACTTTTTTTTTCATATGGCGGTTAACTAAATTAATAACGGAATTTAAATATATTAATTAAGCACTAAATAAGGCGAAAACCGGATTTTTAGTAGTACTATAGTCTTTGTTTTGGCACGTCGCCATTATTTGTTTATTTTTGTTTTTTTCGCCAATAACTTTTTATTCTCAAATTCGGCTACAAAAGTGATTAAAGCATTAACCTCTACTAACAAAAAAA